ACCCTGGTAAATGGAAACATGGACCAAAACCTGCGGTGCCCTGGTGGTTTAATTTTGACCCATACCCATTTGGTGTATCCGGAATACAACTGATTTGTGAGGCCCCCATAATTCGGGCGGGTGGAAGAATTCCCTGAGGAAGTCTGCTTCCGGGCGTAAGCCGGCCATTGGCTGGTGGGTTTTCAGGTGCCGGGCCGAACGCTCGCAACACGTTCTCAATGGCTTCCCAAACGAATGGGTGACAAGCGTGGGATCAACCTTTAGAACATTGGAGAACTTTGAATTGTAGGACAAATCCACGTAGTGGGCTATCTGTAGGGAGAATGGCCCAGTTGATCGTCATACAACGCTCAAGAGGTAGCTTTCTCAAAGCCGATTACACGGGCCATTTGGTTTGATGTCCGAAAGGGAAATCTTGGGCTAGTGTCCTCGGGTCCTCCCAAGAAGCCACCTAAGTCATTGAACCCAAAAAGGCGCAGATCTTCCAACCAGTTGAGCACCTAAGACGCACATCTCTCGAGTTTTTCTGTCCAATACTTTTCTTGGGCTTGGCACCGTTCAATTTCAGCAATGTTCCACGAGGGGCGCAACGCATAACGTTCGGAAAGCTATGTTGAACGTGTAAGCATCTCAAGCCTGTTTCACCTTCTGAGTCGTTCGGCAGTAGTAAGCCGGATGCAAGGGTTTGCGGACGGAACCTATGCATACATTTCATACGCATGCTAAACTGCCTACAGCAAAAACAGTACTATACAACCATCATGGGCAGGCCCGCTGAGCCCGCAAAATGAGCTCGTACTTTGTGCAAATAGATGTCCATCAAATCCAGGCTGCGAGAATCGCGCGTCGCGCAGCATTCCTTTCCCGATTCCTTGCCGTCGCCAGCAATCTGCGAGGATAATGAATAGATTCCCACGAGAAGACAGCAGAACGAGGTATCGGCATCGCGACAAACACAACACTTCTGAAATGGAGTGTTGACAAATATGGTGGGAGATTGCTGCCAACGGGGGGACAAATCGTTTCGCAACAAAATAAATAACAAAGTCTGGGTGACTTAGCATGCACCAACCCGAAATCATTGAAGCCAAACGAAACGAATTCCATCGTCGTTGTTCTGTATTGCGCGAGTCTTGCTATAATAATGGAGGTATTCTGGAGGTAGATGAGACTGCTTCAGAACCCCTTCAGGATCTTCCAACCCCCCACTACGGGGCAAGGGCTGTCCCCAGCCTTGCCTCGCTCCCCTGCCCGCTACTGCCTTCTTTTCTTGGATCCCAAACACCCCTCATCCATGAATCCCTGCCTAGCCTGGTCAAGGCTGCCATTCCCCCCCCGCAGACCAGAAATAATTTGAACGGTTTCTATCGGGATTCTACAGTTTTTTGTGAGTTGGACCGGGTTTTAGAGGATGTAGAGGGGAGGGGATTTGATCGGTGTGCAAGGGTTTAGAGGACTGGCTTCTGGGCGGGGTTTGACGAGGAGAAAGGGTATTTGCCTCCTGTCTAGCCCCTTCGGTTCTTCAACAACTAATTCTTGTTTACGCGACTACGTGAAGTCCAGATTTCTAGGTCAGCGTAACGTTGAAGATTTCGGAGTCTGGACACTTTTCACCGTTATCTGGTGCAACTCTGGGACCTACCACCTTACGCTGAAACCCTTTTACACTGCTCTTCTTCAATCCGCGCATCATAGCTCCCAAACCAAGAGATAGGGCGAGGCGGGCTACACGAAGCGTTTGCAATTATTAGCATCACAAGCAACGCTTGGAAGTGACGTCTGTTGATACATTAAGCACACTATGAATCTAATGGTTCAAACACTAAAATGACACATCTGTGATCCTTGTGATGTGACCGCCAAATCGAGGTCGCGATGCTGATACTTGGCGATGCCTGAAGAAAGTCTCATCTCTCTCTCGCTCTCCGTCCACGTGGAACCTGTGGGCAATGTCCCACAGTCTAGGTTACCTCCCCAATTGCGTCAGAGGATTCCTCCGAGTTCTCGAGAAAAGTGGTGCAGAAGAAAATCAGCAGGCGACTAGAGTGCGGATCGCACGCTGAGTCACAATCAATAAGTTGACAGTTCCGCCGCCGTGGGCAATCCATCAATCTGTTGGGATGGCTGAATCCCTGTGACTGGGACAACCCACATATCTGGCGATTCTGGTCTAGGATTCTGTCCTTCCAGTAGTCCCTGCTTGGCTCGGAGCACCATATTAAGGAGCGGTAAAGGACTTATGTGTTTAGCAGATTTCGTCTGACCAGTTGTTTGTCCGGATTCATCCATAGTCTTCACTCCTTTGATTGTGGCTGTGGTGGGGAACCACCGCATGCGCAGTCGCAGCAGCTAGGCCGGCACTAAGATGCTAAGGTTCGACGAATTGAGTGCAGAGGCGCTGGACCGAAATCCGCACCTCTGAAATGTGTGGGCTTGCGGCACAGCAACTGTGCAAGGGGCAAACAACTAAGATGAGAGGATCATGACGAAACGCATCTAAGAAAATGTGGCCCTGCGAATGTTGATTGCCCTGAGCCCCAGACCGCGAGTCAAAACCGTGCCGCTTGCGCAGTTGCCCAGTTGCCCCTCTGAGGCGTTCCGACGCGATCGAAATGTGTAGCCTTCCCGTCAATGCAATGGAGAAGCCCTACGTGGACCTTCCAGCCAATTTGAGTGGAAGGGACCCGAAGGCGCCCGAAGGCCCCTCCCCCCCCAAAGGAAAGCTCCGGCCCTTGTCCCCTCACGTGTTTTTTTTTGCGGGGTAGGCGAATGTCTCCCCCGAGCTTCCGAATGTCAGCGAAAATTTAGTCAGCACAGAGCATACTTATTGCAAACGAGATCATCCTGAAGTGAGAGCAAAGCTCAAACCATCTGGGTCACGGTCGAGTGCAAGCGGCCGAGCGTTTGTTTGAAATTCGGTGAGTCCCCAGTATCACTCCCAAGTTGACCAAGGATCTGACCAAACCTCAAAAGTGTTAGCAGGGTTGGGCGGAACGAGTTTAATCCACCAACCCCGGGCTGCAAAGGGAAACCAAAACTGGGCTGCCCTCAGATCCCCCGCTAAAAGTTTAACTTTTAGTGGGTTAAATGGAAACTACCACTAAACACTAAAAGGCTAAAAGGCTAAAAGGCTAAGGAACTGGATGGCTGGGAGCCACCGAGGAAAGGAAGTTCATTGCCTAAGTGACTTAAGCGAGGTGCTTGGTCCATGGTTTGCGTAAGCCCACTGGCGAGGAAGATCTGAGCAACCGAGCGTACACGCAGGCGACTTGTACTCGCTCTCGTGGGTGCCAAAGCTTGGGTGTGAATTCAAGCGGCAACGAATCAGAAGAAACCTACAGGAGCCCAAACTAAACCAATCCCACCCTGCCAACACCAAAACCCCCTTCGACTCTGGGAAGACATGCTCTCAAATACTGAGCCGTTTTGGCATCGGCTGTGATCAACACTTCCTGTGTGGATTGGCAAAAACAAGTCGAAAATATGTCCTTCCCACCAAAATGCCAAAATGGTCTTCCCCAAAAGTATAAGGTTCATGAGCTCAAGAAGTGAGATGATCCCTTTCACCGTATCTGAGGCTATGGCTGCCAAGGCAAGCCGAAATGCGTCCGTCTCATGTGGGAACCTCCGAAGACGTGGTTTCCCTTCAAGGCAGGCTAGCAAAGCACCCTTGTGGGACCTGCGACAAAACAACTACGTGAACGGGACAGTTCTGTGGCGTTCACCTGCCGGAAACCAAAACTATACACCCCTGGTTGATTGACAGGAGTGTCCCAATTTCGGCGGAATCCGGATCCCTTTTAGGAAACACGTCGATTGATTCGGTCACGGCCAGAGTCAATTTGAGCAGAATCCACACGGTCCAACAACAAGCCAACTAAACACACGCCATGAATAGCCAAGTTTAAATAAGCAGCCCTAAGTTCCATTCCGGAAGAAGTGGTATTTCAACCATCTTGTGTCCACCCTTTTAGCCATCGGCCAGCCATGCCAAAAACGTGCTTGCTGGTGACTGGCAGACTGGTTACAAATGCCGACGTTAGTCAATTTCACTGCCCAGTAACCTGGGTACCCCACTTGACAAGTGGTGAGTATCTCCAGTTTAGAAGTGCCCTAAGTGAGTAATATGTTGGGCAACCCAACTTTTCATAAACTTCTTCGGGCGTATTGGCCGCCTGTTGGGCTTGGTCAAGGGACTTTGTCCTGAGTGAAGGTCAACCAAAAATAAGTTCAGCGGCCAATCCCAAGCTCCGGCTCCAATATCAGGTACTGCAACCTGCAACCCCATCGCCACCCGGCCTTTGGTCCTAAGGGGCCAAAATGGCCTTGACCTGCAGCTTGATTTCAAATTTCTCTTTTACTCGTCCAAATGTTGGCGTTCCTGTAGAGCTTCTCTGTTTTTGTTTCTCTCGAGGGCAACCAACCGACTCTTGGCTTCAGGTCGGTTGCCAGGGGCTTTGGCTTCCCTCTGAACCAAGGCGACAAGGCGGACTCGATCGGTGGCACGCGGTGCTGACCATCTAAGCTTATATTAGCCAGCAAGCAGTTTCCCGACGGAAGGCGAAAGAAGCACCGAGTACTTGGATGTTAAGTCGCTTTGCAATGGAAACATAAAGCTGGCGGTGTTGTCAGGTGGGACAGCCTTGGGTGCTTGACTGTTGAGCGTGATTCCAACTTGTGCTGGGCAGTGCAACTCCCGCAAAAGCGATCCGGATCCGTCTTCAAGAATGTTTAGGCGCGACAATCCTTTCTTGGTCACAACTGGCCTTCCGTGTGCTTAGTAGGTTGGACAACTAATGCACCCCGTCAGGAAGCTGATTTGATGCTGTATCCAGACTTCCCAACAGCTCCACTGCTTACAGGTGGGAAGGCTGCGCTCGCTTCTGTGCATGTCTTTGGGCAGAGTGCCTCATGACATCCAAAACACAGCTGTTCCACAAATTCTGGGGACCAATTTCTGGAGGTGGCCATGCTTTGCATACCTTCACCCGTGGATTCGTTGGTTTGTGGCTGTGACGAGCTCCGCCAAAGACCTGCCGCCTCGCTGCACACATCTCGTGCCTCCGGGGCTCCGGGCCACCTTGCTCGGAGCGGCGGGTTTTTCCAGGGCTCTCTCTTGTTCCCCCGAAAGCGTCGCCCGAAGGGCACGGCTTGCACAAGGACCGTAGCTCCAAGGAAAAAATGGGAGCACTCTGATATGGAAAATGAGCACAAGGGAGTTTTGGTTCGGCCACCCTGCGCAAGGTTCGGGTTGAAGTACACCTGCAGGGAGACTTGTTAAGCATGGTCCCTGTTGAGTGGGTGGATTGTCTTCTGGTGGAAAGATGGACAGGGTTGTCAACGTGTAAAGGTTGTTTCGGCCGATCCAGTTGATGCTACAAAGCAATTCCGACATGTAAGGCCCTGCGGCGATGCGGAGTGTCCGCATCTCTGAACGGCAGAACACTCCACCAAATGAGTCGTTGGTCCTAAAGACGGTTGGCTTCCTTTTGGTTTGAAAATATTATAGTGAAAAGGGGGCGATAGATTCTCTCTCCTAAGGGTCTTCTACTTCCTTTGTCTTTGGTGAACAATCCTGCACGGGGTGCTTAAGATTCCTCAAGTCTTGACCATCGTATCCCAACCACATGATTTCCCTTGTATCCAAACACACACACAGGGTACCTCACCCAGTGAATCCCAGTTGCCAGTATGGTAGGCAACCAGCCATTTCCCATTTGGTGCTTAAAGGGTGGTGCCCATGGCTACCTACTTTTTACCGGTCAATGGAATCACTGGGTCATAGTTCCCTTCGAACATCACCGAAAGGAATCTCATGAAGAGTCACAAGGTCAACCAGGAACCACCCGAAAGAGACCAAAAGGATCCTTGGGGATTGTCAAAAATAGGGACTGAATTCATCCTCTATTTATGTGCTTAAGTCCCCTTCAAAAACTAACATACTTCCGGTAGTGATAGATTCCCTTTGAAATCAGCAGAGAAAAACAAAAAATAGTCTTAAGCAAATGGAAGTACTTGCGGGGCCTGTACAATACATGACCTCTTGGTATGGATATCCCCGCCTGGCGAGACAAACTCATTTGAGTTTGCCATTCCTCGCAACTCTCTGTGCAACAAAGTGTGTGTGTGAGAGAGTTTGTTTTTCAGCGGACCCCAAAGATGATAGTTACACTTGTGGTTTCCCTTTCAAAGGGCCTTGAAACACACAGAAATAAACAAGCCAAGCAATGAGGGAAAACCTCGCACAAAAATCGCACCCGTGCGTGTAAGAGTTTCAATTCAATGGATAGGGGACCCCAAAATTATTATTGCTTTCGTTTGGGGGCGTCCATCCAATACCAAGGCTTCCCAACTTCAGACACCGAGTTGTGAGGGGTCAAATCCAAGCTTCTCTGGAAAAAGCCGCGAGTTGTTGCATCGGTCGAGTCAACATCTTCACCACAGTAATAACCTCAACGCCGGCCCCTCAACCAGGCAGATCACAGGTGAGTCCATGCTACTCCCATCGGTGAAACAGCGCTTTCTTCATCGGCTAACATCTTTCTCCCCGTGGCCCCCTAGCTTTGCAACGACTCCATTCGTTACCCACACTCTGACCTGGGCAAAAAGCGGCGCGAGTTTGCATGTGACCAAAAACAACGCCACACGAGAATTCTGTCAAAAGCCTACCCCCTCCCAAAGATAAACGTCACATACTGGTCATGAACAAAACTCTGCACCAGCGGTGACAATCCACCACCTGGATGTTGTCCACCAGGACCAAGGAAGAGAAAAAACTCGCAGGGGCCAAAAACGCCGAAACGACGCCCTTGACGTCCGCGGAGTCGGCGTGGTTTCGGGGCGGATCGAGCCTGGACAACTGGCGCCGCGAGCCTCGCTCAAGTGAAGAACCTCGGCGGAGTCGGGCGGAGTCGGCGGCTGAATTGGGCGGGTCGAGGCTGCCCTGACCTGTGGGCAATATCCAATGGCCATCAGCTTCAATGAGAAGCCTTTGGACATCCGGGGATTCATGTCCACCACTGCATCGGAAACTCTTCACATTCATATATTGAAGCTACCAGGTTTGGTACCTCAACCTCCTTTCACGACCGTCCCTTTCGCGTGCGAAGGACTCCTGTTCCTCCGCTCCCAGGGAAGAAGGAGTTTCAATTTCGGCCACTAAACACATACTGCGTGTGTTCCAGAATCCTTGAGGCCAGTGATAGGTGTCCACTGCACCCTAAACCCTTCTGGAACCCAGGCCCGGAACAGACAAATTGCCACTGCCAGGCATCTTTGCTGGGCAAACTTATATCATCCACCGAAAGACCAGAGGAACTTCCCCTCACGGAAGCGTCATGAGTTTTTGGTCGAAACCATTGATTTGCCCAGAACGCCCGTGTACAAACCGGAAACCTCCCTGTAAAGGATCCCTCGTGTCGGCGCATGCTTTTTCCAGCCACCTCGGAGGGTCCCTTGCCTTACCTGAAGCCATTTGAGTGCCGCCATCCAGCAGCAAAATTATATACGCCATACACAAAGCGGAAATCGGGATTCCCCCCAAAAGAGGTTCATGGGCGCGCTCGCCACGTGAGCTTGTAGTTTGCCCGGCTTATTGATTCTGTGAGTTGTCAGCTGCTTGAGCCTTGCGCCACACCCGTTGTCGCCGCCCTTCTTGGCAAGCCCAAGCCTTTCCTTGAACTCATCCTTGCTCCCTAATCAACCCTAAACTCCCTTGCACACCATCCTCCGGAGGTAGAGGATGTGGGACAATGTTGCAACTCTTTGGGGGTTCAGTTTTCGTGTTTCCTTGTGCATATTTGACTGGCAGTGTGAAAAAGAACAACGTTCGCGGGGCATCTGGCAACCATGAAATACACATGTAAGGTCAATCCCCTTGCGTTCGTTAGAGGTAATTCAAATGATGGGCCATTTGCAGGGACCAGGAATCATCCCTTACACTTGGAATTGATGACTCTCAGGACACGAGCCACGGTAGTTTTTCTCAAATGACATGGGACTGTGCTGAGTAGCCCAAAGGTATTTTGGCGAGTGACCCAGTTGCTATGGCTCGCACCTGTAGACTGTCGACTAGTTCACCCCCTACTCAGGAGATGGAGGAAACGAATCCCTACCTTGTCAGGGCTGGCAGTTGTTTTCCTTCACTGCCTTCATCAAAAAGGGGCTTCATGCATACCCCAACTAACGGGCTCCCCCCGGCACATCTGTGCCGAAAAGGCCTGACCGGGCTATTTACCGGTTCTTCAAAAACGTAGACTCAAACCCCCTACTTGCTCTTCTCCTTGCTCTTCTCCTTGTAGTATTCCGCCCTCATCTTTTCCGTACCCCAGCCCTTTCCGCGGCTCATGTGCTGGAACTCGTTCCAGTCGTTACTGCACCTCCTCACCCTCGCCGTCGAGCTCGATGACGCAGCATCCGCAGTCCAGTAGTGCTCCTGCTCAAGCCCCTTCTCCTTCTCCTTGAGCACCACCCACTTCCGACCCCACTGGTCGTGGAGTTCCGCGATATCGCGATCCACCTGGATGAAGTCTCCTCGTTCTGCAGGCTGAGACCGTCCTGCACGGTGGACCGCCCAGGATCGCCTTGACCTTGCCCGTCCTGGCTAACTTCAGCAAGTAGGCCTGTGAAGGTCCTCACCCGGGTCGATGGCCGTGTTCACACATATCCCCGCGACTCCCTGACCTTCAAGGCCATCCATCCACTCCTTCTCATTCGCACCCGCAAACAAGTGGATGACGAGATGCTCCGCCCATTCGAACGTCCGCCTCCTTCTCCTGTTCCACGGCAGCTCGTCCCCGTCCACCTCCATGCTGGGCATCACCCGGCTCATGATCTCTTCCGGCACCCCTGGAAGAACTCCTTCAGCGCCTTGGTCATGGCTAGCTCCGGTCTGTCCTTCAGCTGCTCCATGGGCATCTTCATCGCTGCCAACCGCAACATATGGTTCTCTTCCATGCGCTCCATCTCCTCAATGAGGCCCAATGCGATCTTGGCCTCCACCATGGGGCAACTGTCTACCATTTCCACCTCCAGGCTTTTGCCTCTCCGCCGAACCTTGCAGTGTCCCTGCTTCCATTCCACCTCGTACCCCATCATGGTGAGGACACCCATGGGCACGATCGGCTGGATGTCCTCCTGCGCGATCAGCGTGAGGGTCCCATCCTTCAACCTCATCCTCGAAGTGGTTCCTTCCGCCAGGATCACCTTTGTCGGCGTCGCAGCTTCCCACTCCTCCAGGTCCTTGCACTTCCGCAGTGCATGAGTTGCTCCTTTATCTAGCAGCCCTTTGTTGATGACTGCCGTGTTCATCTCTTTTATCACCACCATTGGCTTCGCGGACGGAGCCCTCATGGACCTAAGAAGCTGCGTTGCTTCCGCCAACCCCCGTTCCCCCACCTGTAGATGGCGCTGTCCCCGACTTCTCGATCTTTTCAGCTCCTCCCGCATTCCAACTCGCTCCTGCAGGACCACTTGAGCCGTCTCTCGGCTCGTGAACTGCAGCTTTGACCACCGACTTCGCTGGCTGGCCCTTTTCACCGGGCAATCCGGTCGCCGGTGCTGCTTCGACCCACAAATCCAGCACCGCGCATTCCGATCCCCGACTGACTGCCAGTCGTGACTCCATTTGCACCCTTTTCCCAAGCGACAGCCATGCTCCGACCCAAAGTACCTGCACACCGTTGTACTCGTCCCCTTTTTCGCATAGTCCGGAGCAGGCCTTTCCGCTACGGTGCCCGTGGCCATCGCCTTCACCTTGGCCGTTTCCACTGTCATCAACCTTGCCGTATCCATCTCCGCAAGCAGCAACTCGGAGTAGCTCCAAATGCTCTGCACCGTGGGCGTGGTGTCTAGCCCCAACTGTGTCCGCGCCTGGGCAACCCGAAAGGCTTGCGGCCCTCCACGATTCACCAGCTGCGTCACCTTCTCCAATGCAGCAGCCAGGAGCGCAGGGTCTGGCAGAGAGGCTCCAATCTCCTGCGCTCTCCGAACGTCCTCATCTGACCCAAGTCCGTGCTTTTTGAGGATCAAGGACCGTTCTCCGGCTGGTAAGTCACCAGCAGCCAACACAGCACTCCAGATCAACTCCTTGCGGATCTCCTCCAGAGCTCGCAGCAGCAAAGTGACCCTGCGCTGCTCCGTCCGCACAAACCTTGCGGTTCTGAGGGCCTCCGGGATCCCAACCGTGATCTTGAGCCGGTCCAGGGAGTGCTCCTCAGCCAAACCTCGTAAAGCTTCTTCGCCTCCTCCATGGTGCTTTTCCACCACTCAGCAGCTCCTTGAGAAAGATCCTGCATCTGGGGACCGACACAATCAAACCAATCCCCCACATTGAGTGGAGAATGGTCATACGCGAGGTCCGGCAGTTCCACCTTCGCCCCAGCTCCTCCCGTCTGGATCTGGTCCGGTGCGCAGCCTAAATTGTTTCTCCTATCTCTGTGATCTCCCAGTTGACTTCACTGTGGATGAATTTAGGACTGCGCATCATGGTCTCGACCTCTTTCAATATGACTCTGACTCATGGGCCAGGCTCGGGGCTCTTGCTATCCAACGGCGGCCCTCCAACCTCCACGTATGCCTCCTCGATGAGCCGGCTGCTCCGGTCCCCGCGGCTCGTCCAGCTTCCCTCCCGGTCTGATCACGACCATGTGTTCCCTGATCTTGCCGATGTACTTGTCTCGCCCTTGGTCTATCACGCACCTCGCTAGGTCTCGGCGCTGGTCCTCCATGTAGACGCCGTCCACCATCCTGTTCTCCTTGTTCATCCACTGGCCGCGCAAACCGCGGATCGACCATCATTGGCTCCCGGAGATCACCTTCACGCCCTGCAGGTCTTCCTCGCATAAGACCAGGTCTACCCATGATCTCCACCGGTGGCCCTTGTTCATCCACCGGTCTCCGTTCTTCTCCACGATGCAGCCCTCCTCCGATCTCATGTAGTTGAGCTCCATCCCCACGTTCATGAACTTCACCTAGGTGCTGTCCTTCTTCTCCAGGACCATGTCCTCCGCCGTTGGCTATTCCAGCCGCTCCTGCCGTCAGGTCTCTCCTGATCTCACTCCAGAACTCCTCCGTCCTGGTTCTGCTTCCGGCAGCTTCCGGGTGGCCACCAATCTCTTCACGTCAGGAAGATCTCCCTCAGGAGCGTCACCGGCACCTCCCCGAACGTCCATCTCCTTCCCAACCTTTCGGGAACTCCCGGTGTCCGGGACCTTGGGCAGACCCTCAGGTCTCATCGCGTTCAGCTCCGCTTCCCCCACCGCCCGCGAGCTCCAGAAAGGGTTTACGCTCACCCATTGCCGCCGTTCACCTCCAGCGTGTGGTGGCCCTTCTTCTTCGCGAGGCTCCGGAAGCTCACCCTCCAGCTCGGCCACCATGATGCCCCTGGCGGCATCCACGCTCATCGCCCGTCTCCGCCTCATTCCCGCGTCCATGACCGCGCCGAGAGGCTTAAGAGCGATTTGGGCTCATAGCCCTTGTCAGGGCTGGCAGTCTTTTTCCTTCAATGCCTTGATCAAAAAGGGGCTTCATGCGTACCCCAACTAAACGGGCCTACGGGGAGTTTTATGAGCGTTTCTCATTTGCACTGGTTTCCTCGCACAGTTGGATGTGTCTGTTTAGGGATCCAAAATCATAGTCTTCCTTTTGGTTTCCCTTAAAAACCACCCAAACAAGAAATACCCCAACCAAAAAAAAAGAACCCCCCCCCCCAATTTTGAGCATCCTTTGCTATTTTTGTTGCCGGCTTCCGAGCCGAGCAGCACATGGGATTCCAAGGCGTTCGCGGTGCAGCGGTTCCGGGGCTCGTACCTGTGGAAATTTCTTTCGCGGTCCATGGAAACCATAGGTGTCCTTTGTCCTTTTAGGGAAAATACATGGCCCTGGTAACACCTATGGCAAAGTTTCTGGTTGAAATTCGGAAACGCCTCCTGGTCTCTTCAAAGGGCCAAGAAGGAACCGACACAAAATCTGGGACCCAAAATTGAGAGAAACGCCGAGGTTGCAAGAGCCGACATATCCGAAACTTTTTTGTTTGGCAAATATGAATTTAGTGCGACTCCAGGAGAAACCCCAAGAATGGGATCTAGCTGGTTCCATTCACGTGACATTCCCAATACACCTGAAATGGTGGTTTAAAGGAAAGCCACCCTGCCACAAGTGATTTCAAGAAGCTCTCAACATGTGCACGTTCAGGGGCCAGGGAAAAGGGGAAATTCATTTGCGACCTCCGAGAAAAGATTTGCATACCTAAAACTAGACACCGTGCTTGGTCGTATATGTTTGATCCGGTTCTCGCTCGGAACACGCTGGAAAGAAGGACAACGCCACTGCCAAACCATGCGAAAGATACATGGTACTCCTGTTTGCAACATTTGTTGGGCCCACATCCTGGGGTACACAGACAATTGTGTATGCAATTATAATGATGCTTTATATGTAAAAAAAGAATACCCTGCAACATGCCGTAAATTGGTAAAAGATTGACATAGCCCAAGAGATCACTTGCAGTTTTAAAGGGCAAGCACGATTATGAGGTCAACAGGTGTAAAGGTTGCTCGCAATGAGACCAACCCCACGCTCAGATTGACCATAGAGCTGGACATGTTCACCTAACTTTGAATGGGTAGGACTTTCTTCTTTTGTTGATGCAACCCTTGGCCAAAGCGAAACTGAAGAAACACCGCGCACCAGTTTGGCAACTACTTCCCAAATAACCCACAAGGAACAACTACGACCATAGGTGACCTTGGAAGAAAATGATGGCCCTGATAAACGGAATCAACCAATCGACCAGTGTCATCTGTTTCTAACCAAACTAGCCTAAAACGGGCACCAAATTGCAGGGTTCTATGTCCAGGTTAGCCCCGCTGCTCAAAGGGCGTAACGACGAGGGTGGCCCCAGCGCGACGCAGTTGCTGCTTTCTTGGTACTGGTTGAGATTCATTATGCATGGGCCCCCAGCCAAAGTCCGCCGACATTGATTGGCGTGTCGGACACCTAAGAGAGGATAGAGGATAACCCCCGGGGGGAAGGTGAGGGTGGGGGACGGACCGCGCGGCAATTTGATGACGTTCCACTAAACGTAGTCTTCGGGGAGCCGGTGTCGCAAAACAGGGGTCCCAGGCTCGATTCCCCCTGCCGGCTCTTTGCTGGTTTGGGGTTCCTGTCTCCTTTTGCCGAAAATCTGGAAAACTCTGTGGCTTTGGACGTCCTAATTGCAAAAACGCAGGAAAATGTGGTTTTTTTGCGGGAAATATTGGGGAGCAAAGGGGAAATGCAAGGAAGTGAAAGGAAATGAGGGGAGGAATAGGAAGTCGACATGACAGGAAAGCAGCGGGAAATGAAAGGGAAACAAAGGGGAACTGAAAGGACATGCAAGGGACAGAAATGACAACAAGGGGAGTGCCGGGGGAATGAAAGGGAAACAAAGCACAAGGAAACCAATCGGCACGACGGGAGATGTAGGGAAATGACTTGCAACGAAAGAACGGGACATACATGGAAAATGAAGCGGACATACCGAGAAAATGTCAGGGACATGAAGGGGGAGTTGAAAGGCATGGAAGGGACATGACCAGGACATCATGGGAAACGTGAAGAGGACATGAAGGGGAAATTAAGGGGAAAGCCAGGGGCAGTGCCCGGACATCGAGGCAACTCAGGGGGGCGTGACGCTGCAATGCAGAGAGAGAGAGAGACAGGGAGAGAGCGGGAGAGAGAGAGGGAGAGCGAGAGAGAGAGAGAGAGAGCGAGACACAGAGAGTGAGAAAGAGAGAGAGAGAGAGAGAGACAGAGACAGAGCCAGAGACAGAGCCAGAATCGCAGAAACAGAGAAAGAGACAGACAGAGAGAGAGAGAGAAACAGAGAGAGACAGAGAAAGAGAGAGACTGAGAAAGAGAGAGACTGAGAAACAGAGACACAGAAAGGCAGAGAGAGGGAGAGAGAAAGACAGAGAGAAAGAGCGAGAAAGTGAGAGAGTAGAGAGGTTCGAATTAGGGTACCCTTTTTCTGTAGAGGGGCGTGGACAGGAAGGAGACAGGGAGACAGAAAGAGTCTGAGAAACAGAGACACAGAAAGACAGAGAGAGAGAGAGAGAGAGAGGAAGATTGAGGAGAGAGAGGCATGGGGGGACGGGGAGGATGGGGAGCAGGGGGAGGGAGAGAGGACGACAGAACACACGAGAAAGACAAGGGAGAGAGGAAGAAGGAGAAAAGGGAGAGGACAATGTCGGCGGACTGAGCCGGAGGCTCTAAAGTTTGTTCAGAGCGCCCCTCTGAACTAGTTGAGGTTCATCATAAATTGCCTTGATTGCCTTGACAACGTGCCGTTGTGTTTTGTTTGGTTGTTGATGGTTACTCGTGTTATATCGCTAGTGCAGCTGCCCATTTCCAAGCTGGGTCCCGATGTCTCTCCCTGAATTCTCCATCTGGATCTGTGACTCAGGGCGCTCGTGGCTGTAAGAAGCTGAGGCCCCCCCCCCCCCTACCCTCTCCGGTGGAAGTCTCGTGGATCAGGGGTGAAAATATATCCAGAGATCTCTTGAGAAGGGAATGCAGAATCTCGCGGCAAATTCAGCCAGGTTCATGAATCTGCAAGCCTACCATAATTCCTACATCTGAAATACGGGATCCCCAGGTATAAAGGACCAAAATCATGGCAAGGTCACCGCGAAAATACGCAGATTCCGCCGGGATCAACTGGTTGTACGGGTGTGGGTCAAAATTAAACCACTAGGGGACCGCAGGTTTTAGTCCATGTTTCCATTTACTAAGGTTCCATTTTGGGTTTACCCAATTTTTGACCCACAGCCACTTCATTGTCTCCCTCGAATCCGAGGCGCTGCATCATGTCTCTCAGGATCTGCTGCAGGCCCTTGTGGCCGCAGCGGCTGCGTGCCAGCACCGGGGCAAAGTCCGTGTCCTGCCGGCGCGGAAAACCGAAACGCCAGGGACCCAAAACGAAGGCCCCTGGTGTTCCGTTGGGGGCCAAAAATCAGGAACTGCCCTGAGGTCAAAACCTATGATTCCCTTTAAAGAACCACCCCTTTCCTGGCGAGTGCCTGGAAACCCAAAGAAAACCATCAGGTATTCCCCTTCTTCAAGCAACACGAGAAGGACCACGCTGTCATGAAGCATAACAATTACATTTCGGGATATGACACTTTGACTATTCTTTGTTGCAGGCCCCGAAAGCCTGTCAGCTTCGAGGACTCCGGAGCCCTTTCCATACTCAGCGCTGCAATCTTCGGCCAATGTCTAGGCCGTAGTGTGGACCGAATCCCCGCCGATCAGCATGCGGTTTGTCCCAGCTTGCGCTTCACCTCATACAAAAATGTGGTCCAGAGTGCACACGAGGCATCCGCTAGGAACGTGTGGGACCGGATATGATCTTGTTTATGCTGAAAAGAAGTATCCCCAGAAGAAAATCCGATTTGACGGCTGGGTGGGCTCCGTTATTTGGTCGGAGGTGATCAGCATCTGAAAGTCAAATAACTAATCTGTAACATACTCTAATGTCCCTGAAGGAAAGCCGCGGGATTCATGATTCTCCCTTTTTTTCGAGACACCCACTAACTGAGTATAAATCCTAATTGGGGACCCCTTGGTGGGCATACTTGCGCGGGGACGCAAGTGCACTCACCAAGCTTGAAGGCCATGTTCAGGTTGCCAAGTCTGGCCACGTGTTTGTGCTCAAGCCAATCCATTTGAGGAAGTTTAAAACCTACCCTACCTGGAAGATGCCCCAAGCACAATGCTTGGGAAGGGCCGCAAAACACATGCGCGTCCCCAACAGACCCATAAATTCCCTTCACAGGAATCACTTGTCATGGTTGTCTAAGCTCTCCAAAGGCCTTATCATCCGTAATAACCCCCAAGCAAAAGCATCTTTGACCGATGCGTGAAGTTTGGCGGAGCACCCCACCAGAACGCAGCTCATTCAAGAATGTGTTTTTTCTTGCTGGTGCTCAGTACGGAATGACCCAGGGTTTTGGGAATGGACCTAGGGATTCCCTTAAAGGAACCGCATAGGGAATAGCTTATAGGGGTTTTTCCCTCATTCCCTGCTGAGAACCATCAAGTTTTGTTAAGCCACCAAACCGGATCTTCAAACTTTTCCGACGCTTTCTCCTCCCAGGAGGGGAAGCTGGAGAGGTAGTGCCCCATCCTCTCCACACCGGGCCAAGAGGCCGGGCGGGGCGTGCCCTTCAACTGGAAGATCTTAAATAGCCTCAAAGGTAAGGCAACGTGTCGAACATGGTGCCCCCCAAGAACGAGTGGAGCGTCCTTTTGGCTTTTCCATTGAGAAAGGCCAAAAGGGTGTGCTTCCAGGTAAGCCATAGAAGGTAACCAGGTAACCAGGTACCTCCAGACTTTACCTGATGACTTCCCCTGGTTGACTTCTGTCATGATAACTAGGAAAGCTCAGGCCAAGTCCATCGTACTGGAGATACATCTGCGCGCACAGCTGGGATCATGGACACATGGACATTAGAATCATGGTTGAAACATGTTGCAGAATCTGTACATCAACAAATGGACATTAAAATACCTCAGCGCTTAACAACTGGTGTACAAATAAGCAAACATAGACCATAACATATCTAAACGTAGGTAAGCCAATCAGGCAAACACAGAGACCCTTATCAAAAACAACCAGTTTCAACAGTACCCAGCCCTCGGACGAATTGCAGTCGGAACTCACTGGTCAAGGGTCGGCTGTCAACGACTCATTGCCAGTTTCACCCATCAACTGTTAGTTCTACTAATATGGTTGGACAGGTTGTCGGCGTTGCTATTGCCCTAGCCAAACTGGTAGCAAAACCACTCACAAAAAATGGACCATCTAAGGCCAACGGGTGTGGACCCCCGTGGGGTTTTCCCTCTGAGAATCAATTGATAAGTCGGGCTCCCTTGTGGAGCCTTGGGTCACCATGTCCTTCACGGTGAGCTTCTTTTGCCCCCTGGGTCGTGATTCCAATTCCTTGAGGCAAGTAAGGAACCCTTTCAAAATGAAGGGGATGTGAGCATGGCTGGTCACCTATGGGTCTTCAGGTTTTCTGTTCCACATTTCGTCCGCCCTACCCAAAAAACGTGTTGGATCAGACTCCCTGGCGTTTGAAACGCCTGGGATCCACTGGGCCCTGACTTGCGCTTTTTTTTTCTGTTTTGTTTTTGTGTTTTTCCCCTTTGTCTTGTTTTTTTCCCCCCGTTTTGAGTTGTTTTTTCCGCAGTACCCAAGCCAGGCGGCGTGCCGATCTCCGAGTCTCCGGGGAAGAGGACGCGGCCAGTGCACATCCTGAGACCATGGGCTTTTCAACAGCCGAATCGGGTAGCCCCCAGACATCCCAATCCAACCACTAAGATAGGCGCTATGGGTGGTGCAGCCATGCAAAAGTGCCCAAGGGGTTTCAGCTTTGAGCTCAGATTTGCAGCCCAGACAACTAGAGGGGCCCATTCGAAGCTTTCAAATGCTCATCCACCAGGAAGTCACTGCGGCGTCGACAACATTACTCTCAGACATGGATCCAGGAGATGGCAACCACGTGACCCGCCCATACAACCACCTGGCCCGGCCATACCCAGAAACACACAAAATGCACTGAGGACCAAAAAGCAACAATGGCCCAAAATCGGAAAACCAAAAGGTTAAAAGCTCTGTACTGCACCGGATGGCGTGCTGGTGCCTGAAGCTAAGCGAACCCCCCTCCACAACAACAGGAAGGAAGGCCACCGCTTTTGCTGTGTGTGTTTTTTTTGTGGGCTTGGCTTTTAACGGAAAACCTCCTCTACCAAACAAAAGCGATGAAAAAAAGGTACTGGGAACTCGATTCGCGGTGCGCCAAGCATCTCCGCGAGAATGCACCCCAGCGACCAGATGTCGATGCCTTGCCCATACCTACGGACCGAAATGGACTGCTACCCTGTGAGTGCGATTTCAAGCTGTGCGATTTTTCAGGGCCACTTGGTGGATATGATTTGTGGATTCACGTCAACCACTTTTGAGGCGGTACCCAATGAAAGCCATTATGTACCTAGAGAAAGCAACACAAAGTTATCTGCTACAGTGGAAGCCAAGAGCGCAGGGCTAACTACTGTGGATGGACGCCGGGCAGTTGGTAGGTGGCGTCTCAGCCAGTAGTAGGTCTTCATCCATTCCAACTAGACCAGTTTTGCTTTTGCCTTTTTTCCTATCTACAGTGCATCAGCGTTTGACACCAACCCAATACTTGTGATTATGGTACATAGTTGGCGGGCCTTTAGCTGCAAAATCATTTAAAGAGAGATCCCTTGGAACCCCGTGAGGAGCCAAATGACCCTTTTTACCCCCTGTGTACGTCCTCACAAGGCCTCTGGGAAAAAAAAAGTCGGCCTGAAGGGGATACCTGATCTGTTCCACTGAAAATCCGAAAGTGGGAACGGAGCCACAGGCAGCCGTAGCAACTTGTAACCACAGATTCTTGAACCTTGCAGGAAAGTCCAGTGCTCCCATGAATACCTCTTTCAAGAGCTTTTCCCGCCGGCTCACCGAGAGTACGAGGGGTTGGATTGGTCAGTGGAAAAAAGAATGCCAGGAAATAAATGGCTAAGGCCCTCTGGCTGGTGGGCTCCACGTTGCTCGGATGCTCTTCTGACGCCATGCAAGAAAGCAAGAAGGTCAAACTCAAACACGGTCGTCAGAGTGACACTCTACAACTTAGTATACAGCCAATTACCTTTGACATGGCAGTGATAAGGATATCCCAAGAGAAATGTACCGCCCACGCAGAAATTCCTGGACCTAAAGGTCAGCTCCAACTGACACGTTCAAACCTTCAGGCTGAATAATTTAAGACTATGAGCCTGGTCAGTGAAACCATTTTCAATTAGCGGTGTGCATTTTCGAGGGAACCCTTTTCACCCTTTTAAAGGGAAACCACATGGAAAATCAACATGTATTGGGCGCCCATATGTTTGTGTCCCACATACACATAAAGTATACTGTATATACATTTGAACAACTCCGCCAAATTAGCTGAATGGAACAAATCGAATATGTATCTAATATATGTATGCATAGCGGCATAGCGATTTTTTTTGTACTCTTGTACTCCGTAGTGTACGAATGGGCATCTCTTGTATATGCATGAGTTTTGGGAGATATAATTTTGAATGTTGCTTCATCTATTCACTACCAGTCGCTTGGTACTTCCGTCATGGTAGGAGCTCCCCTTTGACGCTGGCATTGCCCCCACCCCAGAAAGGATTGATTGAAAAATGGTCCCAACCAAACCTTGTGCTGGGCGGCAACGCAATCATCCCCCGTGTTTGTGCGGTGTCTTTCCTGGTAGGGCGCCTTGTGTGTGTGTGTGTGTCATTTGGGACCATGGCATCTTGCGGCTCGATATGAACCGGCTTCTCGCCAAACAAATGATGTTTAAAACAACCAAAAGGGGAAATCCAGAATAAGCTAGGTTGGCCAAATGAACCAGCCTCAAATAGTGGCGTTGCCTTCGCATTTTCTGCAGGGATCCTGCAGGATCCTCCTTGCCCACAAAGGGATTCCTAGTTCCTTGGCGAGTTCCATCTGGTTGTCTTTGAGCCGTAAACCGGGCATTGCAGCCAATGAGCAAGAATCGAAAGCTGGCACACAGTAGTCCATCCAAAAACATGTCAGCAAGCAAAAGAGCGGGTGGGGGAACGGGTGAGTTACTCCTAACTAGTGTGGAGCGCAACAAAAAGGTCCACTCCTCCCAAAGATGCGGTTGTTCAGGGTCATCCTAATATTCAGGAGAGCTGAGTAGTCACCCCAAGTTCTGGTTTGCAGCCGAAATAAGTTTCGAGACGGCTGTATTAAAAGGGCTTGCAGGAAGCAAGAAAGGCTATGGTAGGGCTACGATCTCATTGGGGGAACACAACTTCACTGCTTTCCAGCTTGTAAGGTTGAACGGTTCCCTGGCCCAGAGGGGTCTGGAAAGATATGATTAAGATTCTGATTCATATTCAGTCTACCCCAACAGGGCCCGAACATATCAAACTGTTTTGGAGAAGGCCCTTTCCTGGTTTGGCCAAGGGGGTGATTCCCCCAACAAAGGGTCCAGCTGCCCTGTGGGCCGAAGACTACTCTGAGCCGAACAACCGGTGAAAAGAAGGAAGCAGGGGAAAACCAGCCCTTTCAGGAATTGGCATCGACATGTTTCTATCCATCGCGTGATTCAATTTCGTGCCCCCAAAAAACCGAACAACTGACCGGGTCGCTACTTGGATGACCACGTAACATGGCAACGTCCCAGTTCATAAGTCCCTGAGTGGGATGTATGCAGGGTCAATCCCACTTAGGAGACTGACTCCTCGGATATATCAGCCTGTACTAAGTGGGGCGGGCGGGTATCCAAGCAAAGTTACTCCTTTTAGGGCTTCAACATCTAGTGAGTTTCTCTTTGGTGGGATGCGTCAAGGAGACATCTCGGTTGCTTTCTGCTCCCCCGCGAAAAGTTTAACTTTTAGTGGTTTAATGGAAAACCCATTAGTTGGCAAAAAGTTAAAGTCCTAACAATCTAAGCAAATTGCACCAAAGACATACTAGTCTGAATTTCAATGAGGGAACCCAACATTATGTTCTTCCTTCTGGTGTCTGTTTAAACTAGCTTCGAAACTGGCAACCCATCCAAGAGACTTGCTGGTGCTTCACCAAAAATGAGGCAACCTGAATCAACCATCCAACTGAATGCTTCACAAAAAATGAGGGAACCCTAATCAACCATCCAACCGACTGCTTCTTTTAAGGGAGTGCCTGGGTTCGTTAACCAACTGAATGTTTCCTTAAGGAAATCCCTGGGTTCATTCTGCCACATTCCCTGCATCTCTCACACCGCTCGCATGAAGCCATCGGCTGGGCTCGGGGCTTGCAGCTTTCGCGGTCGAAGAGCATCAGCTCTGGGGCGCGATACCACAACGTCACCACCAGCGGGGTGAAGGGCCCACAGCCTCGGCAACTCTTTGGCGAGGTTACCAGTAAGCCCAGAGAGGGGCCCGGGCTACGAGCAAAAAAAAAACAACAACGACGAATTCGTGTTTGTTTCTTTCACTAGTTACCAGTAAGCCCAGAGAGGGCTATGAGCAATAAAAAGACAAACTAATGTATATGTGAATTAGTTGGCCAGGGGTACGCAGGAAATCAAATGTTCTGCAAAAGGACTTCGGTTCCATAGTTGGTCTTAAAAAAGTTTAGGAGGAGACTACCCTAAAATACCACAAAGTTCTGGAGACTGCAGTGACACCCTGGAATGGGCTATGCGCAAAACAGCACGCTCTCGCGTAAAGTAGCCCTTAGCAAACAAGGAAGCCTCCTGGCCAGCTTCATCTTTTGAGGCTTGAAAGAGAGGCCAAGGTTGCCTGACCCCAATCTGGCAGACCATCTATACCATGAGATATTCTACAGGAAGTTTACCAAATATCAACCGAAATGCCGAGATGTTTCGAAATCCGCCTAAAACTTACAGGAGCTGGCTTATTGGAGAAAAGTGCAAATTGGCAACGGGCCATTAATCCGCGAGTTTCAAAAAAAACAGCTGGCTGGGTTCAACTGAGCCCTTTCTGTTTGAACAACAAAACACCACCCCCCCATGTTTCCCCCCCCCCAAGGCCAACATGGCGCAACGTTCCCTGTTTGATCACGTTGGAACCACCACTCACACAGGGGTCCGTGGGTCCACGGGAGCATGCAGGCGGAACGGCTCTGTGCCAAATTTTAGGGGATGCCATGGAAACAAACGAGGTTCCCAATCTGTCCAAGTAAACCTCATGACGGAAGACTCACTAAATTCACCACCAGAAATAATAGTGTTGGTTGAAGCGTTGAACCCCCCAAAAGAAACCTCCACAGGCACTCCTTGAAAAACAAAAACACGCACTTCAGCACCCTCGCTCCGAGGCGCCCATGTGGTGACCCTTCAGCTTCCGCGCCAGGCCGAAATCCGTGACTTTGTAGTGCCCGTGCTTCACCAGGATGTTCTGGGGCTTCAGATCCCGGTGGATGTAGCCCAGGCCTCTCCGGAGTGAGCCCTTTGTTTCGTGGGTAATTAGGTTCGACCTCGGGACTCCTGAAGTGGGGATATGAGCCACTGGGACAGATTAAAAATCCCCAGAAGCCCTTCAAAAGCTTAGGTTTGTTGCCCAGGCCCCAAGAAACAGCCGACAGACTGAGTACCTCAAAGTGGTTGCATCTTGTGCGCTCAAAATGACTTTTGGGTGAGAATGTCAAGCACCACCCTTGGGATCATTGTGTTTGGATGTCGCTTGGACGCACCCAGTTAGATCTCATGAAAATAGGAGCGTGCTTGAGTGATCCCATTCAGTGGGTTCGAACAAAAGGGTTCTATGGGTTCTGGGATGTTTAGCCACAACCGAGGAATCCCCAAATAAATAAAAGATATCGCTAAAAACCAATTGCTACCCTGGAATTCATGGTGCTCCTTTGATCGTGAAGTTGAACTGCAATCGGCGCGACTCAGTCTTAGCTTGCAAGGACCTGTAGTGAGACTAGGTGTTTATATTTTGAGACCGCACAACATGGAGCCAACACCTTCTGAAACAAGAGAATGAAACGCTGATTCGCTCTACCAGGCAAGATAACACACACGGCGTGTTTGAGGCGCGCTCACTGGGAGCGACAATGAAGAACGACTGGAGCCATGAGCGAGATGCATTTCCCCAACGGTTTGACTGACGCTTTTTTTCGCAAGCAAGTCTAAGACAAAAGTATACGACAAGCTCCAGGCAAATTGAAAACAATATCATGTCTATGATTCTGGAGTTTGACCACACTCAGCACGAACACTTCATACACCAAACAATGGCAGACAGCACATATGTGGTGGGTGGCTGAAGATTACAGAGCCAGGGTCACGCAGGCTTTGGTCGTTGGCTCCATTTCCCCAGCTGCCATTTGTTTAACCTTTGTTTTTGAGCCGCTAACTCCATGTGTCTCGAACTCCTCTGGGCCGTGAAGAAGTTCCGCGTTGATGTCCATAAGAAAAGGCTGCATGGCCTCTCTTCCCGGGAAAGCTCAGTATGGTCCTTCTGTCAGGAATGGCCACAGAAGCTGAATTGAGAGACCAGCAATCTGCTTGTACCAAAAAATGACGTGCTTTCAACCACACATGCCTCAGCAGGCAGTTCTCGCATGTTCAACGGCGTATGAAGGGAAACCCAAAGACCAGGCAGTAGGGGCGTCTTGCCCCCCAAGAGTAAAGCATCTCTTGAATGGGACACCCCTTCCGCTGTTTGTCAACAGAAGCCTGATAAAATCCGTCATTTTCTTGGGGTGGGGTCATGAGGGGCCCTTCTTCTTCCCATTGAAGTCACCCAGTGGTATCTGGCAAGTGGTGAAAGTCCAGCTCAAAACAGACTTTGAACCGTCGAAGCGAGCCGGAAATTGCTTCTGCAAGCTTCGGATGCCCAATCCCCAAATGGCATGGCAAAACCCAACTTGGCATCTGGTTCCGAAGCCAATTCTAGGTCCTCCAGTAGAGAGGTTACAATAAAGGTACCCTTTTTTCTGTAGTCTATTTGAGTAGGGGAACCCTCCCCAAGAAAAAGGTAAAAGAGCACTACTGGGGACCTAGAATTCCTTCCCCCCCCCCCACAAAAAAGGAACAGGTTTCCTCGAAAGGACTCGCCCGTGGGCCAAGGCCCCGAAACGTGGCAGGGGAATCGCTTCGTGTCGCCAAGCCGCGATGGCAGTAGGCCACTCCGGAGACAATTTCTCGAAACCTCACGGCAGTCGAGTTGGCGAAAGATCTCGGCTACCAAGTCCTTCAACAACTCCTTGCAGCCATAGGTGTCCTTTTAGGGCAAATAGATGGCCCTGGTAGATAATTAAACCACCAGGTAAACCCGGCTTTTCCACCAAAACAACCAAAAAGGACACCTATGCTGGTAGCTCCTTAGCCGCCTTTTTAATTGCAAAGTTGGATACCAGGTTGGCTCGCCTCCAACCCCCAGCTCGTGAGTCTCAAAATGGATTTTGGACGCCCTTTTGGTTGGTACAGGAGAGCAATCATAGGCGACCCAAAACTTGCAAACCCTGCCTAGGAGCTTTGACCATGTCGAAACAACACTGAGGCGCTTTAAGGGATGCACGGGTCCTGGAACCAACTTCCCCTAGATTTACACCTATTGAAGATAACGAAACCCTAAAAGCTACAGGTCAAATTATGGCTATGGTTCAAATACAGAAGAGCACCTCATGGGGGGGCCCATGGACTCATGTATCGTGTGTTGGGGTTGCTTTTGTCGGGGTTTCTCGAGGTTTTCTGTACTTTTCATGGCACCGTGACTGAGAAAGCTCGAGAAAACCAACACCAAAGAAAGACATAACATGTCAGACCCTAACTCAGCCAGCCTGGATATATAGGGGCTGCGGTTTTGCCTTATTTGGTTTGTTGGTTTTTCTCGAGGACTTTTTGTTTTGAGGTTGGGGTCAGCAAAACGAAACAAATATCCGCAAGAAGGAAACATTTGCCATCGCGGCCTGGGCCTTTCACCTGCTAACCGCAACCGAATTCTATTCAAATGAACTCGTAAAAACAGCCAGCTTGTCATTCCTTACCAGATTCTCTGGATTATAGCCAAAATCGAAGTACAATCCTAGACCGCTGCTTCATGTTGGGTGTCCTCATTCGCGCATGTGTCAAAAGAGGGGGGGCCCATTTTTCTCGCGATTCTCCTGTCGGTTTCCCAAAACGGACACCGAGCCCCACTTCTCACAGGTCGAGCGGCGCAGGCTTCAAGTCTTCGGAGAACGCGCCTCCGAGCGTCTTCCTGGGGCTCCAGCGAGCACAGCGCTGCAGAGCCGGGGCCAATTTGGATGACCACTTGTGGGTCAAAATCGAGCCACCAGGTGTTGGTCCATGCCTCCATTTACAGGGCTCCATTTTGGGTTTACCCTATTTTTGGCCCACAGCCACTTCATTGTCTAACATCCCTTGCTCAGTGCAAGCAGGCAAAAGTAAGGTCAACCCCGCTGGGATTTGTGAACTGTCGGACAACCCCTAGCCTTGTGGTCGGGATGGGGCCAGGTTTTGGACAAGGATTAAATGTGCAATCGACCGAAACACAAATGCAAGCAAGGAGGAAACCAAAGGAACTTGAAAGGACTATTCAGGGGCAACATCTGGCACCGTACAAACCACCCTCGCCAAAGCCCGACCCAAAACCGTTTGACGCGGTTGTGGCGTCGTTAGTGTCCCTGATCCATGACAAGTTTCCAGGGATCGATGCTCCATTGTGTATTCAACAACCCACAAGTTGTTTTGGGCTGTGACAAAATTTGGGTGGCTTTCTGAACAGACTATCCCGTTGAGAATGGTACGTTCCCATAGAAACAGTTCCGATGGTTCCGAAGGAGAAAACAGACACTAAGGTAGCTACCCTAAAAGTCCCCTTGGTTCCCTTGGTGAAAAAGCTTGCAGCTTAAGCTGGGCAAGGGCAAAATACAACTAGATCCTAAGTGCGACTTGATTGTACGTTTGGGCCTGCAAGTCCAAGAACCTGTACTAGGACCTCCAGTAGAGAGGTTAGAATAAGGGTACCCTTTTTTTCTGTAGTCGATTTTAGTACGGGAACCCTCCAACCCAAAAAAGAAACGGGAGAGAAGGGCACCTAGCCGGGGGACCTAGTGTGAGTCAAGTCCAAGCGTCGTCATGTACTCATGGAGGTTGCAGTCCATAAGCTCCATGACCAAGTGCACCTGACTCCAGCGATCTGGCAATCGGGCTTCGGGCCGGGCTTCGGTCCGCATGGACCCGGGAGAAAATCTGTGCAACTGGCCACCAAGGGCGTGCTTTTTGAGCATTCCCCAAAGGTAATAAACGTGATACACAGGCAGCAACTGGCAAATAAGACCTTTCTTCCGAAAGGGATCCCATAAATACATGCCTTTGAGCCACGTTCAAAATTACTTGTTCCCCCAAAAAGAGATGCAATGTATTTTGTGAGTTCGCATGATTGTGTAGAAAGCCCCCCGTTGTCCCTCCTAAATGTACCATAGACGTACTGGACAGTTTGACCAAACCTCATACAGAATACCTAGTGGAGGGGGCCTTTCTTCGACTGACCGATGGTTCGCAAATCGCGACCATTCCGCCGGAGGTTGTCAAAGTGAACCCAGTTTGGCGTTCTTGAAATGGTGGTTTAAAAAGGGGCCGTCATTACGGAGGTATTTTGAACACCCAGTCGCTGAGAAATAGATGGACCCTCTGGAAGTTTAGAGGTCCAAATTCTATAGCACACCTATTGCCGGCCCGTTGAGCAAACAAGCACGGATACGGCCCCGAGATCACCAAGCAATGGCAAGGGCCGCCCCGCCGGGTTTGCCTTCAATCCGACCCGGGCCGGAGGGATTCCACCCATGACCTGTTCTCAACCACCATCTCTGGGGAGAGGGAATCCTTCCACGCTGGCGCCTTCCGCCAGTTTGCCTATTGGACCTCCCAACTCAAAATTCGCAGCCAAAGCAAAGTCATTCCACAGTCGTACCAAAAGAGAGGCTTGTCACTTCGCAAGTCGTCTTTTCACATTGGAAGTTGGGAGGATACCGTCTTTGGGGCCAGCGTAGAACATACGGAACCAATGTGAAAAGATGCAAGGTCTCTCTCCCAATGCCAATCAAGTCAGCGCTCAGCGTGAGTGCCAAATAGTGGGCAGAAGGGCATCCATCCCTTCTGGTTCCCTTCATTGCAAGGGCGCAACCATCCTTTGTTGTTGCCTTCATGTCTGCCTTCATCTGTTCCCTTCACAAGAAATCCATCGTTTAATTGCATTCTCCAGGTCAGCGAAACGGCCCGACCACGACGCCTCGTGAATTCAATCACGGGCTCCTTGGGATGTTAGTGCTGGGCCCCACGAGCCCTGTCGAAATTGTGTACCAGTAAGCGCTTCAGCATGGGGCAAGAGAACCGACAGCAACAAATCGGCAAACACTCGAGCAGACACAAAGATGCGCCCCTTCACTCCATGCTCATGACCCTCAATCTGTCAGCTTGTGGCATATGGCTCGGCCCTCTCTCTTCCTAATTTCCGCCATTTCCGCAGATCACCGCGGCACGCTGTCGGGCAAAGCAATAAAGTCCAAAATCTTCACCACGTTCGGATGCTGGCAGGCCCTAGGGCGACAGGAAGCCTTCGGGTTTGAGGTCGTTGCCTTTTGGTCGTCCCTTGGGTGGAGTTCGCTCTCCTTTCACTTGGAGTTTCGTCCTTTTGGCCAACAACCACTTCCAATCAGGGAAGGCAATTTGCGATTCTCAGCTTCTTGAACTCGGGTCACAGGCCATTTCGCTCCGATGGCCCTCTTAGTTCCCAGGCGAGGTTCTTGACCAAGTTGACATGGTTTCCCCGTCTCAAGGAAACGGAAGGAGTTCAAAGTGCCTGGGAAAACAACTGCTTTCAGAAAAAGAAGAAGAATAATATCAAGAAAAAAGAGAGAAACACCACCAGACGGGTGCATAAGATCCAGTTTTGAGAAGATTCCAAGAACTTTTCCGAGGGTGGGGATGGGTTGTCTCGGAGAAAGTTGCCGAAAGAGGATTGTCACGGACCAGGGTATTGAACTAAAGCAGGGCTGAGTTTCCCTCCAAAAGTTGCAAACTGACACTTCTAGGAGGTCCAAAAAAGGGAAATTGAGGGACCCCTGTAAAAGCTTTGGTGAAATCCATGGAGTTGGCATCCAAAGTGCTTCCCTGGATAGGGCAGGCAATTGTGACTCCGGCTTCGATTTCTTTTCACCTCTGGGGGATGGTATGGGTCTGTTCTCTCTCAAAATAGGGAATATTTCTCTGGACAGTGATGACGGCAGGCTTCGTGCTTACGCGCGGGCTCACGCGCGCAATATGTGCAACATGCTTACGCGCGTGCTTACGCAAGCTTACGCACAAAATGGAAAAACCTTACGCGGACCGTCCGATATTGGTGCCCCCTTACTAAACTGGTCTTGGGAGGTTTTGCCCTCCGCTCAATTGCTCAGGAGGGAGTCTGTTTTTGGACCCGCAAATTGGCCCTGACAACACACAAAGGGGGCACCCTCACAAAAAAAAAAAGAGACACCTCCAGAAAAATATCATCCAATACATGGGAGCCTCCCAAAAAACGTGCATAGCCTCTTGGGGTCCTGCTGTGCCAAGTGCAAAAGGGGCATGTGAAGCTCGAAAACGACGAGCGCCGAACCTAGCCAACTGCGCCCAGCAGCGTCTGAATCGACATCTCCCGCAAGGAAAAGGGAGAGAGACCCTCCTGCAAGGCAGCCGCCCCACATAATTCATGCATTTCTCGTTTAGTTCATGGTCAGAACTTTTGTTTTTTGTATGGACATTATGTCCCCTCATGTCCCTCGGACATGAACAATGTTAAAACAAATATCGAACCCCGCATGTGCATGAAAACCCATGTTTAGTCGACCATACAAATAGAACTAGTCAGAGACCGCAGAATGTGGAGCGACTTCAAGCCCTCACATGACGTTCACATTGACATTGTGATCCCGGTGAAAACCAACTGGTAGTTTGAGGGTCCAGGTTTCTTAACATGGGATTCGGGCCTTTTTTTGATGGTTTCAAAATCACAAAGAAAACCAACCATCTTGGACGAAAGTTCCTTTTTTGGGTGTGGTTTAAAGGGAAACAACTCGGAGCCAACCTGGTTTGAGCGGTGCAATGACTCCAACAGCAACAGCACGCGCTTGACTCACCGCTCCTCCTCGAACTGCACGGAGCTCTTCACTGCCACGACAGCCCCGGTCACCTAAGACGCACACCAAAATGAAGGGGGGGGAACGGCCAAGGCGTCTCTGAAGAAACACAATTCGTGTCCTTGTGCCCACATGGCCACAGCCATGCTGCCGAAGCGAAAACTCTGGGTCACTTCCAAAGGCATCTCAGATGCTAATCAGAAGTAGTTCGCCTTTGAAGCTGCCAATCCGAATGCAAGCATTCAATGCCAAAGTTCCCCGGACTCCAAAGGGTCACATACAACAATATGCTGGATAAACCTGTCAAACAACGACTTTGGGATCAGTGTGGCGGGGGTATTAATCAGACGTGCATCAAGAGTCACTAGGCTGCAATGGCTACTCTTCCACGGCACTGAATCCGATGCATGTTCCTCAAAACGGATTCCGGACCCGCTCTTTATTCAAATTCCAAACCAACCCGTCAGAAACTGCCCGACCACTCTTTGGCTTCGCGTCTTTTGAAGGCTCCCTGTCTCTGGAACGTGGGGGTCTTCGACTTGGCTTCCCTTCGCGAGAAAGCGCTTAAGCTGGCTGAAGCGTCAGAAAAGTTTGGCTTCCCAGCCAAAAGCTAAATACGACCTCGTGACAACTGCCTTAACTTGCCTACTCTTTGGCTTGAAGGCTCCGGTTCTGTGGGGGTGGGGGAGATGGTTTTCGACTCAGTTTCCCTTAACTGAGCTGTCTTCAGATCCCCCGCGAAAAGTTTAACTTTTCCTGGGCTGCATGGAAAACCCCACTATACACCAAAAATATATAACAAAACAACAAAAACTAAAAAGCTAAGAAGTTAAAACGCTATAAAGCTAAGGAACCGGACGGCTTGGAGCCAAATCATCCGCCGTGAAACCCGCTGAGCTCCCCGGCGACGTCCCGCATGCGCCGCACCTGGCCGTAGCTGCCTCTGGCGATGGCCTCCAAAGCCTCGTAGCGGCCCTCCAGGAGCTCCAGCGGCGCAACGGCCGCCTGGAGCTGATGACTTCAAGCAGTGAACCGTCCAGCTGACGGAGTTTTGTTGAGAACTGTTGGAGAAAAAAGATGCTTAAAACATAGGCGTGCTAAGAACTTTGGAGAAAATAGATCTTTCAAAATACTGTGTATGTAGATATGGCAACCGGTGATTTCAAGCTGAACCATCCAGCTGGTGGTTTTTGTTAAGAACTCTTGGGGAAAATAACTTTATATATGAAATACTATGTGTATATATATATATATATGTATGCTCAGCTCCCCTGCATGGTCTATGTTTTTTGCGCCATGTGCACTAATCTGTGACATCTGCGGGCACAAACCAACTGTATGTCTCAATGTATCGTGTTCCATCTGCAATGCAGGCCAAACAAGTCAGCTCTGTCCGTGTCACACCTGCACGCATCTTGCTTATTAAACTCTACGCAATGTCCAATGTTTTTGTTGTGAGAACCAATGTGAAAGAATTCATGCTCAAATCAAAATTGCAAGTAGCAATTCAGATCAGACTCATTCCGCATTAAATCCTGCTTGAACTATTATACAATCAAAGTCGCATTTGGAAAGGAACGCCCTTTTGACCCCTCATTCAAAACAGACAAGCATCCTCATCCTTTCTAATCGAATTCTGTTCAAATTCTAGTCAAATCAGAATTAGAAAGGCCTCGTTGGCATAAGGAGCCTTATAAGGAGCCTTAAGAAGAGCTTTATAAGGAGCTTTCTCATTCACTTGCGGGTCATTGCATATCCTTCCTGCCTGTATTCTGTTCCATCTGCAAACTTACATCAATTCCTTTCCCTTCCAAACTAGAACTTATAATCGCCTTAGCGACCATCTCCGAACGGAACGCAGAACGCACCGTTCCGAACGCGCTCTGCGAACGCAGAATCACACCTTGATCATATTTGCTTTTTCGTATCCCTCCAAAAAGCAATTTGGACATGTCGTCAAGGTACCTCCTATGTTTGCTTTTGAGTCTTGGGTGGCTTCACACCTGGATCATATTTGCTTTTTCTCGTCCCTCCAAAAAGCAACTTGGACATGTCGTCAGGGCACCTCCTATGTTTGAGTCTTGAGTGGCTTCACATCATACTTGCTTTTTCTCGTCCCTCCAAAAAGCAATTTGGACATGTCGCCAAGGCACCTCCTATGTTTGAGTCTTGAGTGGCTTCACATCATATTTGCTTTTTCTCGTCCCTCTAAAAAGCAATTTGGGCATCTCGTCAAGGTACCTCCTATGTTTGCTTTTGACTCTTGAGCTCGTCTCAGAGAGGCAGAGCAAGTCAAAGTCTTTCTTTTGCCTTGCCCCGGATGATGGCGTCCTCATGACATTTCCAAATCTGAGAAAGGAAACAGGATTGTTTGCTTCTTGTACGGTTAGACAAGCAAAGTCTTGTTGGTCGACAAAGCATGCTTCCCAAACCCACACAACAAAATGATGTGCTTCTTCGGGAGCGGGGGGAATTAATGAGGATACTTCACTGGGGGCTAAGAGAAAAGAATAAGAAAGACTTTGCTTTTTGAAGGGGCCTTCCACTGCAGCCGCGATACGATGATTCACGTTTGCTTCAAAGGAGGCATGCACCAAGGCACAACCGAGTATGCTCTGAGCACAGGAACACAACATCGACCCTTACCTCATCGTTGCTTTTTGAAGGACTCTGACCCAACCTGGTCTCTCGTTGTTCAAAGGAATGGCTGAGCTCCTTCTGCTTTTCAGCACTGTAGCCGGCAATTGAGTCACCCTGCGCCCAAGACCACGGCAAGTAGTGCATGAACTTGCACCAGCGAATCGCAGGCTCACAGCCAGCCCAAACGAGCTTCATCAAGATACCCTTCTCCAGCGAAGCCGCGCATGGCCTCGTCAGATTGCGCTGCTTGCTGACCTCTTCAAACATCGTCAAGGCCAGCGCCGGAATCTCAGCTTCGCTTACACCATGCTGAATTTGGTACTGCTTCTTCTTCATCTGCTTGCCAAAACAGGCGTGTTCTGATAAGCGAGTGAGCCCATGCGTTGTGGCCACCCACGGACAGCTGGTACAGTAGTACATTGTTTTCTCACCCACGCGTACCGGGATGTACCGCGCTTGCATCACACCCAGCACCTCCTTGCAGGACTTCTTCCCAGGCCATGGAGCCAAGTAGGCAGGGGCTTGCGGCAGTGTGTGCCCCACAGCCCTGAGCTTCTCGAGGTCTGCATCGCTCACACGCTGCGGCTCCATTGCCTTCTCAGCCCCCTGAAATAGGAATTTGTGCCAGAAACAAGCCAGCGAAGGGAAACGTTGCCCTCGCCCTTGCAAGGCGACCAAAGAACTGCTCTCCGGAACGCAAGAAATGGATGGAGGTTCTCAAGGGACGTTGAAAGCGTCGAAACGCTCATAGTTGCTTTGATTGACTTTTTTATTAAAGCCAAAATAGCAAGTCTGCCCCGCCGCCATAAAAAAGATTGGTGCGAAAACCCTCCAACCCCAAAGGTGACGATTGAGCGCCGACAAGCTCATATGTGCTCTGATTTGCTTTTTTGGGCCATTTAAAAAAACAAACCTGCCCCGATCTAGTTAAAAGGCTGGTTTAGGGACCGAAAGCTCCTGTGTGCTCCGATTTGGTTTTTTGTCTACCAACGCCCGAAAAAAAAAACAAATCTGCCCGACTCTGAAAATAGAAAGGTTGGCTTAAGGGCCCCTAGACACGAAGGTGACCTCGAAGCCTCAAGAAGGTCATATGCGCTCTGATTTGGCTTTTTAACGATGCAAAAAAAGCAAATCTGCCCCTGGGTTTGGGCGCCCGCAAACACCGAAGGTGACCTCGAGAAACCCAAAAGGTATATATTTGATCTGATTTGCTTTTTTGAAGGGCGCCAAAAAGCAAACCTGTCCCCCTCAAGTCACATGCTTGGCTTTGGGGCCTGCAAATCCTCAAGTAAGCCGAACGCCGAACGCGCGATCCGAACGCGCGTTCAGCGAACGTGCGATCAGCGAACGTACCGACCGAACGTGCGAACGCACCGACGGATGACGCTAAGATAATCGCATTTCATGGTTCTTGAGCTCTACAGTCTAATTGAATTTAATCGAAATCCTTTTGGAAAAGAGTTCTACTCAAATTGTTTCCGTACGAAACTCTACTAAAACAATATATCACCATCGAAGTCATGGTTGGAAAGTTCTTGTATTTTTTGTTTATCATTATGACTTGTTTGTTTCATTAACTTCTGTTCGACCTGCTTTTGTAATCAACATCCTACTTGATATAAGGAGCCTAAGAGGCCTTATGAGGACCTTCACAAGCAAAAAAGACTTGCACAAGGACAAGGAGCTTCCCCAAGGAGCCTTATAAGGATCTCTTTATAGTTAGCCCTACAAGGAGCTTTGTACGAAGCCGGATTAGAAGCTTTAGAGGGAACCGAGCTTTACAATGAACCTTGTAAGGAGCTTTGCAAGGTGTTTGGTTGACGTTGGAAGGGGAGCAACAAATTAAGTTTTAGCAGTTAAGTGGTTGGATTTCAACCACTAAACCACAATAATCAAAAATGTAAAATGTTCCCAAAACCAAGCATGAAGGAGCCTTCTAAGGAGCTATCTTTACAAGGAGCCTTGTGAGGCTTGAGTAAAGCATTTAACAAACATCTACTTCAATTCTGCCCTTATTGAATTCTATTTAAGCTCAATATTTGCTTAACCAAAGTCCTATTCTGTAACAGATTACTCTTTTCAGTCTGATCTAGACTGAGGCCACTGGCTGCGCTGATAAACGTGTTCAGCCAAAGATGTCGAACCAGCAAGGCGTGTGCATATATAGTCACACCTTCGAAAGAACACAAGGGAGCAAGTCGCCAGAACAGTCAACCTTGATGAGCAATGCCGACAAACAAAACGCTCAGTGTTTTGTTGGTTTTCTGAAAAATTCAGAAGCAACATGATTTTGTGAGGGGTAATGTCAAAAAACCTGGGGGAAAACCAAAAAAACTCGAGAAATGTTATTTATTTTAAGGAAGCAATACCAATCTCTGAGGAAGAATCCTTGGTTTCAGCCCCAAACTTTGTTTTTGTTTGGATTTCTCAAGGCGTTTTTTGTTTTTGATTTCCCTCAGTTTTTTGCTTTTTGACCTCACAAAACCAAAAACAACTCGAGTTTGTTTTGGTTTGTGGAAATCTGGCCTTCTCAAAAACTAAAAACAACTCGAGTTGTTTGGTTTTTGTGACGGATAATGTCAAGAAACCAAAAATACTGAGGAAAACAAAAAACACAAACAACATCTTGAGAAAACCAAAAAGCCAAAGTTTGGGGCTGACACCAAAGATTCTCCCACAGAGATTGGTATTTTCTGCTTTTTTTGGTTTTCTCAAAAGGTTTTGGTGTTGTGGGTTGTCCCTTAGGTTTTTACACAACATCCCTCACAAAAAACGAATCAACTCGAGGTGTTTTTGATTAGTTGGTCGAATTTCGCTCAGTAGTTGTTGTATTATGTGATTTAATGCTTGCATATATCGAAAAATGCCAAACAACCGTGTTTTAGCACTTCGTAAGGGCAGAACACAAGAATACCGTGTAAATGCATGCTTTTACATCATGGCCAATTCAATGCGGAATGCCCCCAATTCAATGTCGGGGGTTTTGTAGATTAAAGGTCATCACTCTGCATCTTGAATATAAGTATGCAATTCATAAAAGACACGCCACCAGGCAGTCTAGCATTAAAAGGGTGTATTTTCAATGCACACGAAATAGTTAAAAAGACGTCAAGACACGAAAGGTAGATCATGGCGGGGGTTGACCATATATATATATATTTTTATAGATATGTATGACTTGTGGAAATACGGTTGCGGCGCCGAGGGACGACTCGCTGGTTTTTCAAGGAGCGGCAATGGACCGGCTTCCGAGCCCGAGGTTAGAGTCCCCGAAGGGGGGGGGCGTGTGAGAGGAGATCCTTCACTTTTGAAAGAGTAAAGGCAGCTGAATATATATATATATATGTATATATGCTACCCCCCCCCTTGAAATACTCAGGTTTTTGGGCACAACTGAGGTTTTTGGCCAGACTGGGGTGACAAATGCCTTGAGACTCTGAAATGAACTGGACACTCAACTCCATGCAAATTCTATCCAAGCAGAAAAAATAACCTCAACGTTGATTAGGAGTTGCGAGTTGTGTGACCGTCACATTGGCGTGAGCAAAGTGCACTTAAAGTTCGGAGTATGCAAAGTGCAATTTGGCAGCTCCAGCTCAAAAAACACAACTGTTCAGTACAGGAGTAGTGCGCGAAATATGTTTTGGCAGCTTCAACGCGCCTGTAGCAGCCCTATTATTTGGTGTTTGTTTTTGTTTGGCAGAGAAATTCAGCAAAACATCAACTCGGGGAAAAGGAACTCATTCCTAATTCATGTCCTTGCACAATTGCATTTACATGTTAACTCGAGTGTTGTGCATAATTCCTGACATGATAGTTCAGTCTATCTGAAACATATGTTGCAAAGCAACTATCCCACGTGTGTGTGTGTGTGCGTGTTGCTTGTCTAAGTTGGTTCCATCATCGCCAATAACAACTATTGAAATTCGATTAAGGGAAGAATATCCAGTTAAAAAAGCTTGAGTTCAAACCAAATTCAAGTTTACTCGGTTGCAGTTTCGTGTGCGTTTCCAAAATCGATAGCTATTGTCATGGCCAAATGAATTTGGAATCAAACTCAATTTTGAAAGGGTTATTGTCCTGATCGAACTCCATGTGGTTTGAACCAAGAAAGAACTGAGCCAAGCCAATGACAGGAACGTATTTTCAATCATAGATCCGATTCTTTGCATAAATGCTGCAAACCGCAGTGCTTTTCAGCATTTGCTCAGATCGTGTTGCCCTGGATCGAACATCGAATATACAAGATTCGACAAACACATGTTTAGAATATACTCAATCCTGGTCCCCCAAAAACTTGACAGTTTGTTCTAGACTCATTAACATTTTTTAGAGCCTCATTTCAGAAGCTGGAAAGTGTGTTGTGCATGCATGTTTACAGCCAAAATGTCAATTTATGGCCAAAAACCTGAGTATTCCAGGGGGGGTACCATATATATGTATATATATATATGCAATTACTTCCACAATTATCCAACCTGCATGAAGGAATCCCTTCGCAAAGAGCCTTCGTCATATGCACGCTTGGATTGCCCTGGTTGGTTGAACAACAACCTGGCGCCGTATTTCATGAACCTGGAGCCGTATTTCATGAGCCGCGGACAAACTAAGAACCCCACAAAAGACTCATATAGTCCCTGTTACACCCAAGGCCTTGCATCTAAACATTTCTCCATGTTTCTGCCACCATTATTTCCGGGGCAATGAAATTCAGGATGTTACAAATCCTTGGGCGGCACCCTAACCCAGAATGAGTCCCAACAACCCCCTTCCTTCTTGGGCCCCTTCTGGAGGTCTCTCTTGTGATTCTTGTTGGCGGAATGCACTCCTAATACTTCTTTTCTCCAAACGAACCAGCTGGATAATTGTTGACAGAAACGCATTCCCAAAAACAGCGGATGTCTAAAGCAAAGGGGACATGTAGGGAGACAGGCGGTTTGGAAGTCGGAGGTCTTCAGAATTCTCCAAACGCCAGCCGAGAATTTAGTTCAGAGCTCTGTCCAAGACTTGGATCATTTCTAAAGGCTTGAAACCAGCCGGCAAAGTGGCATGTTGAAGACACCACGTGCAGAGTTGGCTTCCATTTACCCTCGACATATCCGCCGGCCCCTTTGCAAAACCCATGTTAGGGGCATGACGTGTTCTTGGTGGCGGTGAGGGGCCCAGCATCGCTTTTGCATCCTCATCCAGCACCAGCGCAACATCCCCAGCATTATCAGAATGACGTTGCTGGAAAGCAGGGCAAAGAGGATCAAAATACAGAAACAAATCCATAGAAAAAACCAAAGGGCAACTTCCAATGGGAAAGTGCCAACAGGAGAATTCCAATAAAATAGTTTCATGGGAAAAATCCAAACAGGAAATCCCAAACAAACATTTCCAACGGAGAATTACAAAGGAACAAATGCACTGGCAAAAGTCAAGCGGAAAAACTTCAATGGGAGACTTCCAAAAGGACCATTCCAAAGGGACAAGCCCAAAGGGATAATTCCAATGAGCAAATCCGGAAGGGAACGTTCCGAAGGGAACTGTTTACTGGGAGAATTCCAATGAGAGAATTCCAAGTCCAAAGGAAAATTCCAAACGGAACATTCCAATAAAACATCTCCAACGGGAGAATTTCAATGGGTAAATTCCAAAGGGACAGATCCAATGAGAGAATTGCAATGGGAAATTCTAAATGGGAGACTTTCAATGGGACAATTCCAAAGAACACACCCAAAGGGAAAATTCCAATGCGACAATTGAAAAATAAAATTCCAATTGGAAAATTGAAAAGGGACATGTCCAAAGGGCAGTTCTCAATGGGAGGGACAATTTCATTGAGTAAACTGAAATCCGATGGAAGCATTTCAATGGAACAATTCCAAGATAAAAATCTAACGGGACAACTCAAAACGGGACAGTTCCAAACAAACACTTCCAATGGGACAATTCTAAAGAGAAAAAACCCAAGGAACAAATCGAAAGGGGAAACTTCATTAGGCGAATTCCAAAGGCTATTCCAATGGCAAAATTCCAATTGGAAATCAGTGGGAAAACTGCAAAACAAACTTCCAATGGCAGAACTCAAGGGAGCAATTATTCCAGATTCCAGAGGGGAAAATCCAATGGGAAGTTCAGAAAGGAAAAAAACAAACGGGAAAATTCTTCTGGAATAAGTTCATCGGGAGAAATCCAATGGAAGAAATACAATGGACAAATTCCGAAGGAAAACGTCCAAAACGAAATCCGCAAGAGATATTGCGAAGAGACATTCCAATGGGAAAAAGAAAACTGCAATGGCAAAATTCCAATGGGAGTTCCGAAGGGACAATTCCAAGAGCAATTTTACTGGGAAACCTCAAAATGTTGAAGTCTATTAGGAAAAGTGCAAAGGGAACATGTCCAATGCGCCAATTGCAAGAGATAATTCCAATGCGAGAATTGCAATGGGAGAATTCCAATAGGAAAGATCCAAAGGAACACTTCCAATCAAAGAAATCCAAAGGGACAATTCCAACGATTCCAAAGGGACATGTCCAAAGAGGGAATTACGACACATACAAGAAAGCAAAGGTTTTCGCACCTTTGGGTGTGTCTCCCTGGGAATCTGGGTGAGGTCCATTTCCCTGCCAGATTCGCGATTACGCGCCTCTGGGAAAGGGATAGGTTGCAGCACCAACGCCATGGGTAAACTCGACGAGCCGCGCTTGCTATTTCGCGCGAGAGGGAGCCAAACAGCTCCGGTGAACGGCTGGCGATGGAGTCCTACACATGTCGAGCTCCTCGTTGAATATTCCTTGGCCGTTTGAAGTTGGTCGTAAAGGGCACGCGTGGGAGGGATATATGGCACACATTCAGAGTGCGATGAGGGCCCTGAAAGCTGTGATCCAGCTGCGTTTTTGCCGCCCAAGAACATGACGACGAGTCGTAGCGGACCACGAATTGATCACTGAGCTTGGCTGATGTTAGTTTGGACAAACTGTTATGAAAACTATTTTTTTTCGAAATGAAAAAATGACTGTTTTCAGTTTGGTTCACAAATTGTTGGTTCTCAGTTTTCGAAAACAAACAATGGCTGCTGTACTTCACGGAGCGGATCGCGAAGCTCAAGTCACGGGACCATTGCCCATCGGACCAAATCACCCATCACCCATTCAGCAGATGGAACAAACCAAAGCCCCAAAACTAAGGTCTCATGGAAAACGGTGCCCAGTGTGAGCGCTGAATTTTGAGTCACTGTTCCAGGGGCATCACAGAATGAACCGGAACCTTGCCGCCGCAAGACGGAACAACGGCGCAACCTTTCTTAGGTGGTACGTGTTGCAGGAAAACTAACCTCCCACAGACACAGACACAACTACGGAAGCCCTCACATACTGGCACAAACACATGCAAATACACACAAACACACACAAACAATGCCACACAACACGTAGACGCAAACACAACGGAAGTGCACATTCCAATTTGGAAGACGACTAGCAACCCCGTTCCATTGGCTCATGGAAACCCAAGCACTGGACATCTGTGCCCATGGCCCATGGCTTCCTCTGAGATGAACAAAGTGCGCTTTCCTGGAGGAATGGTGCGCCATGTTCTTCAAGGGCTGTAAGAACTCTTAGTCTCTACCTCGAATCGTAACATGTGTACGGGAAGTGAGAACACGACTACGTCGTGGCAAACAAGCAACTGGCTAGAACCAAAAGAGACGAACACGCAGCAAGCTTTTTCCACGTCTTGTCGGTGGCGTCATAGGGCCCCCTGAAGCAAACATATACCCTCCTGTCAACTCGCACGCTTCGGTTCTCGTCCACATGGGGCCAAGCACACAAAAGATAGAACGTGGTAATCGCTAAAATACGGAACTGCAATGGGATCGCTCAAGGCACTTATCATCACTACGAAGGTTAGAAGAACAGTTGCAAACGTAGCATAAAACATAAGCAGACAGGAGAGGCCCCTAATACGACTGCAATTGGGGTACATGGAAAACTTGTAGGTTTAGAATTGGCATGGTGTTGCCTAATTCTAATTTAGAATTGGAAGATTGCGGTTCTGGACAAACTACTCATACAAATAGAGGGCATGATACAAAAAGGGCAAGGAATTCACTGTCAAGTCACCTTACGCTGAATTGGTGGGACGGATTGGTGGAGTTGGGGGGGTTAGTTGTCCAATCACCCTCAACAAGAACAAGGGGTTCGAATGCCCAAAGCCACCAATCCAACATTCAGGGTAACCTGAAAAAACGAGCGGCTCAAACAAAGCCAGAACAAATCCCAACAGCAAAGTACCCAGTGCTTCAAAGTTATTTTTTACCAGTGATTACGTGTACCTGATAGGTAATCAGGGCGTCCAGGGGCGAAACTAATGTAGCTCCATTGGGGCCTGCTAAAAAAAAGAACTGAGCCCAAAGATGGCGGCTTTGCCTTTTGAGTTCCCACACCACCGCCACAAATGGCACCCTCGAAGAGACACATACCCATTCCCTACAAGGTCCCAAATATTTAGAATGGGTTGTAGGCTGTAGGGTACTTCAAAACCAAAATTTAGGCATACTATGTCTGATTTTGCATCAACAAACTGCATAGTAGGTAAGCATGGAAACGTGAGAGGCGAAACCACTGGGATAATCTGGCCAAAACTGGCCCCAGTGATTCCATTTACCTAGCAGACAACCATGGGAACCACCCTTGAACACATTGGCTGGTTTACTACATGTAGTGGTAACTGGGATCCACTGAGGCAGAAATTGGTCACCTTCCAAGAAGTGTCCCAATGGGCCAAGACATCAAAAACAAAATCTTGGGCGGGCAAGGGCGAGCAGAACACGCACGGAAGTCAAGAACCTTTCCAAAGGAGAGCTCGTTTAAGGCTCGCGTTAATATGCACAGCATTCCCCCTCTGGTTGTTCAGAAACCGAATCAACTCTTGCCTAAGCAGCTATCATCCAGCTTAACATAACAGCCGCTTTCAGCTCCCAGGGGCCCGAAAAACGAATTCTCGGGAGTGTTTCTACGGCAAAGCCTGTACATCTGCCGGACCAGAGTTCGGAGGGAAGTCGAAAGTCTGAGCCACTTTGGACAACCTCCAACAGCGCAAAAACCCAAATATGAAGAGGAGCGGGATGGAGTCCCGACTGCATTTTTTCCAGCCTTCACGGGAAAACTGGACGATCGAGGCAAAACTCCATGCTTTTTGGGGATGAGGCAGGTGCCATCATGCCACCATAGGTGGTAACCTTTCGACATGTTCCTTTTGGTCTGGAAAGTGTGGTCCCCTTGAGGCAACGCAAACAATAGACTTTTGAGGGAAACCGTTCGTCTGAAGACCACCCGAACCAATTGCTGACTTTCGGGGAGGTCAAACGAATAGCCTAGTGGGTACAGGCAATCCCCTATAGACGGTAAGCAGGAATTCCACCTGCAGGGCTTACGTGGTTTCCAGTGGTTCGACGCGGAACTGGCCCATCGGCAGCGCTTTAGCTTCCCTTTTCAGATACGTTTGTTTTCAGGGTACACGCGGTTGCAACAAGCAACCCAAATCAGCAAAAGTGTTGGAACCCTTTGGTGGCACTTTTCAATGCGGAAAAGTGAAGAAGGAATCAGTGGAATCCACTGGGCCCTGCCAGCCTACGTCATGGCATCTGAGTCAAATTAGGCCAAACGAGGTTTGGCTTTGCCTAGGAAACAAACCAAAAGGGTGGTTCCATCGAACAGACCCGTATTCCCAAGAAATTTCTGAATGGGGTTGAAGGGAAGGTTGGTCTAAGTGCCTCCTGGCACCACTGACCAGAGAACGTTCACCAAACGCTTCCTATGGGTGAGATCTCAACGAATTGCATCGTTAGCTTTGCCCTTACGCACAGCAATGGGACTTGCAACCATGGCTGTGGGTTCTAATCATGCATGGTGCCCAAAGCTGCCGGCTTTATTATTGCAGAGAAACCATGTTTACCAAGCACTTGACTCCCGATTCCCGGGCTGAGCAGTCGGCAAGGTCGCTTTTGTGGAAGTTGTTGTTGCTGCCCCATGTCCGCAGGCCGGTCAGACAGTTCCCGTCCGAGCCTCCCCTTAATCGCTGCACACCAGCAGACCGCTTCACGTGGCCGTGACTAACGGCTGATACTCGAAAACACTTCTTTCCACAAGGGCGTCAGGATGTGGTTCCAAACTCCAATTCTCATTGAACGTGTGTATATGTGTATGTATATATATATATAATACGTGTTCATTGCAGTGGATCAAAAACGCTGCTTCCAAAAAACGCCATCCTCCCGACAAATCAATATCCTTCGCGAATCTTCCACACGCCCTTTGTTTGCAGCGGCGCTCTGGAGCCAGTGTGGTTTGCGCAGTTCTGCTCGGAAACGCAGAGACCACAGTTCACTTGCACTGGCAGCGTTGCAGCAGCGCGAAGTGAAAGCAGTCACCGTCAAACAGGCAGGGCATCAAGGATGCAAATAATGATGCTGCGCATCTCCCTGTCTGCAAGGGAGTCGGGTCTGCAAGTATGCAAGGGCACAGGCATGCCTCCAAGAACCCAACGCGGAATTTTGGGGAATGTTCGCGAATGTTCGCGAAGAACAATTCTCTTGCGCGAACTCCATCGCCGATCTTTCGCGAAGGGATTTGAACCAACACCCATGGTCACTGAATACACAACTCCTGGCAAAGACCTTTTGATAAGCTCCCATATGCACATTGATGTTCATAAATATCAATATGTGGTCCCCGCTTTGCTACCTCAGCCCTCTGTCTGAGATATGCGATCCAGCAAGTGCTTCCTTCCATCTGTGACTTCATCTCTTGATGCCAAGGCCCCAAACCGTGCAAACCTTTCAGGAGAGATGTCGCGGCCCCTGAACCGTTTGAACCGTTTGAACCGCTTCTTCAGGAGAGAGGTCAGAATGATCTCAGTACTGGCAATACTAAATTGCATGCTCGGAATGTCCGAGATTAAGTACTGGCAAAACTAAATTGATTATTGGCAGTACTAAATTAAGGGGAATCTGAGACAAAGTGTTGTTAATACTCAGTTAGTATTGCCAGTGCCAAGTTCAGCAGTGGACATCTAAGACAACATTAAATCTAGTATTGAGGAAGCAAACCTTTGTACTGGTAATCTGTGATTAGCACTGGCAAAATGAAGTTTAGTATCGGCAATGTTGAGGCAAGCATTGGTAATCCCAAGTTGCGACTATTTCGTGGACTAAAGCGGGTCAGAATGACTGCTCGCAGCGTTCAGGAGTGGGGGGTCTTATTAAAGCAGGTCCAACATTCAGGCAGCTGTGGGATCCAAGATTCCTTCCCGATGTTTACACCGTCTGAAACGTTTGAGCGGGTTGCCTCGTTAAAACCCCCTCCTGGCAGAAATGGAGGGGCCTCAAAATCTCTCCTGAAAAGAGGTTAAAAGTTGTAAACAATTGAAATGGTTCAATCAGTTCAGCGGCCTGGACATCTCTTCTGCAAAGAGGTTATAACGGCTCAAACAGTTCAAATGGTACAGGGTCATGGATTGCCAAAACTAATTTACACATTTCTCTCAGATTTCCAGTGCGCTTTCGCATTGCCAAGCCAACACTTAATCTCAGATTGCCAGACACTCGCTCTTTGAGAGCGCCCTACAATTTCACCTATCAATCTGGGCTGTTTTCTCTCCAAACTTCAGTTTGCTTTTACAAAAGAGATTGTCCGAGGCGATTTCGGCTGGATTTCCAGTGTTTCTAGTAATTGTTGCA